AAGGGATTGAAATTGCATTTACATCACATGACTGGGAATTCAAGCAAAAGCAATAATGGTATGAGGATATCTAGAAAAATATGTAGCATTATAGCAATCGGGGTGGGGGTCAGATACTTACCGGAACTGACCATTTTCCCAGCATCTTTAGTAACAGATAGGATATATGATTTCCCCTTGAGGTCTGGGAAGAGCTTGGAGTCCCACCAGACGTTCAATGCAAGGAGCTTCCTTGAAAGACCTATCCATCATGATAGATGAAAGGTTAGGAACTTCTCCGTGGTGGTGGCAAAAGAAGAAATGTTACTAATATTAAAATGTAGCAGAGAATGTAACTCTATCGAGCAAGTGGCACTTAGTGCAGATTATGCCAAGAAGAGAAACTTGTAGCTTCTTTCACAGACCAAAGGAATCTATTATCTAAAAGGAGTGAAATATTAATTAAGATGAACGGATGTCCCCTCGATGTGGCACAATGCTTTGAGAGAATTTTGGACCTCAAACTCACATCTGACCTCAAGTGGAACTCGTACACATGATCCATCGCTAAGGTAAAATGGTATACTCCCTGTACCACTCCAGTAAGTATCTGACTCCTCATGCTATACCTTTACAAGAGCCAGATCAGAACTAAAATGGAGTATTGTGGAAGCACCTGGTTAGCAAAGTCTCTAGCTAAATAGTATAACACGTGGAGCCAAATGATGCTTCCGTGTTGAATACAAGTTCGATTCCTGTCGGAGGACATATTTTCTATAAGATTTCTCGTATATTGAGGCCGAAAAATGTTGTGAATACTGTTTATTATGAACAGAGCATTTACTTAAATATTTGTATCTATAAAATTAACGAATAAAAAGAAACATATTATATATATATATATATGTGTGTGTGTGTGTGTGTGTGTATTACACGAACAGAAAAAATTATATAAAAACTCAGCCACCACAGTCATTCTTTTTCAACGAAACTTGCATAAAAGAGGGATTGCTGTCCAAATACACAATTTATCTCACTCTCATTCTCTTTCTCTCTCTCACTCTCTCTCTCACTCTCTCTCTCACTCTCATTCTCTTTCTCTCTCTCACTCTCATTCTCTTTCTCTCTCTCACTCTTTCTCTCACTCTCTCTCTCACTCTCATTCTCTTTCTCTCTCTCACTCTCTCACTCTCATTCTCTCTCTCACTCTCATTCTCTTTCTCTCTCTCACTCTCATTCTCTTTCTCTCTCTCACTCTCTCTCTCACTCTCTCTCTCACTCTCTTTCTCTCTCTCACTCTCATTCTCTTTCTCTCTCTCACTCTCATTCTCTTTCTCTCTCTCATTCTCTTTCTCTCTCTCTCTCTCACTCTCATTCTCTTTCTCTCTCTCTCTCTCTCTCACTCTCTCTCTCTCTCATTCTCTTTCTCTCTCCTCTCATTCTCTTTTCTCTCTCTCTTTCTCTCCTCTCTCTCCTCTCATTCTCTTTCTCTCTCCTCTCTCCTCATTCTCTCTCTCTCTCCTCTCATTCTCTTTCTCTCTCTCCTCTCATTCTCTTTCTCTCTCTCCTCTCTCTCTCCTCTCTCTCCTCTCATTCTCTTTCTCTCTCTCCTCTCTCCTCTCATTCTCTCTCTCCTCTCATTCTCTTTCTCTCTCACTCTCATTCTCTTTCTCTCTCTCACTCTCTCTCTCACTCTCATTCTCTTTCTCTCTCTCACTCTCTCACTCTCAATCTCTCTCTCACTCTCATTCTCTTTCTCTCTCTCCTCTCATTCTCTTTCTCTCTCTCCTCTCTCTCCTCTCTCTCCTCTCATTCTCTTTCTCTCTCTCTCTCTCCCTCTCATTCTCTCTCTCTCTCATTCTCTTTCTCTCTCACTCTCATTCTCTCTCTCTCCTCTCTCCTCTCATTCTCTCTCTCACCTCATTCTCTTTCTCTCTCTCTCTCATTCTCTTCTCTCTCTCTCTCTCTCTCTCTCTCTCTCTCTCTCTCATTCTCTTTCTCTCTCCTCTCTCTCTCTCATTCTCTCTCTCCTCTCATTCTCTTTCTCTCTCTCCTCTCATTCTCTTTCTCTCTCTCACTCTCTCTCTCACTCTCTCTCACTCTCATTCTCTCTCTCACTCTCATTCTCTCTCTCATTCTCTTTCTCTCTCTCATGGTATCAGTTGGTAGAAGGTATCTAGAAAAAATATGTAGCACTGTCTCCCTGCGAAGTTTTAAAATTAAAATTCGTACGTGTAAATGGTCATAAACTAAAGGTATCTTAATTACAATTGTAAGAAATATATGTGTTTGTGTGTGTGCGAAAAATTTAAACAGGCGATTTTCCCCCTTCTCACACAAATAAAAACAAATACTCCCCCTCACATATATATCGTATGGAAATATGCACATTTAAGTGAATACAAGAATATTTATTCGACTAAACCTACATTGGCATACGAGGTCGGTTCAAAAAGTATCAGGACTGTTGTCATGGAAACAAAGCTAAAGTACGTAGAGTTGTGCCGCTTTGCACGAATTG